CATTGAACATTTCTGCTGGAAATCCCAATTGAAGGAGCTTACTATTTGACTTCAAATAGGAAAGAATGGATACGTGCGGGACAGTTTTGCCACATAAGTTTTTAGCTAAAGATCCAGTGCATATCTATATAAAAAAATATTGCCCGACAAGCAAACCAAATAACTGTTTTTGAAAATTTTCCTAAAAATAAATTCCCCATTTGAAATGGTTCAAACGAATACATATACATATACATATGTAACATGCAAAGCAAATCACGAAAATTTGGTTTATAATTATAGTGCACACTTTCTTCTTTTATGTCTAGTAGTTTTTTTTTTTTAAGATTGGTCCAAAAAAAATATAACAAAGAAAGAAACCGATGCAGGTATTTAAAGCACAGAAAACAATAAAATTATAGTTTAAAAAACTAAAACCTCGCTATTATAATTACCAGTCGTACTGTCATCCTTATACGTTTGTTATTTACTTATAGGAGTTTATCAGCTGAATTCAAATTTCTTACAAAATTTGTTAATGCCAATGGCTATTCGCTATGCCACAAAGCCTATTTTTTGCAAAATTTGATAAGAAATATAAACGTAAAATTAGAATAAAAATCTATAAAAAGAGTTTATTTGAGAAAAAATTCTTTAGAAATTAAATTAATAATGTGTTGGAGTCTCATGAACTTTTTTTTTAAATTTAATTAAATAGAAGGAAACAATTATTTTTATAAACTCTAGGGAAAATTTCAAGTTTTCAAATTACGAAAAAAAAGACGAGAAACGTAAATTTAATTTTGATTGTGGATCTACCGGTTTTCCATATCGGATCATTTTCCCAAGATATTTTAATTTTTATGAAAAGATGTATGTTTATGCGCTTTTTTGGTGGGAATCACGTAAGTACGATAATGAATTTTGATTTAGAATATTATTATGCATAAATATAAATCAGTGATGACGATAATGGAGATATGGACCACGATGAAAATGATGAATTTAATTAAATAATACAAAAATACATACATACATACTTGAAATCTTACTTGCCTTCCCAGCCAGCAAGAAAACGTACATTTTACGAACATTATGTTTTACGAGGGATTCTCGTATCCCCAAACAGTTAGAGAAAAGCTCGTAAACGATAAAACAAAAAAATATAATAGAAAGAGGCTTGTAGTAATTTGTCAGCACAAGAAAAAATTTTAGTTTTGTTGACAATTTTTCTTCAATCACAATATTTTATAAGTAGTTTGTTAAATATTCAATTTAAGAAAATTATTAACGATCGATCGGACGATCTACCACTTTCTTTTATAATTAAACTTCTTGTAAGTAGCTACTACATATGTAATTCAAAAATACAAATTAATTTAACGAGTTTTGCAATTCTTTCACAGGCTGCGCGGAGTAACACTAAAGGATTTAAACGTTTAATTCCCCTATCTCGTAAGTTTATAGTTATTTATTTTTTTAATTTGCTAGTTTATTAGGTCTTTGCAGTTATTGAACTTAATGTTTTATTGATAATATGGCTTCTCAATTAACAAGGCGTGCGAAATCCGAAGCCTTATCCATACTAGCGTCAATAAATGATTCATTAAAAAAAAATTATTACAGATGAGGTATCAAAACTTTTCTCGTGGAAGGGAACTGGTACCAAAAGCAGCGCTATTGGTTAGGCAACGACTGCGGCAATAAGAAGTACGGATCATAATATTATTTATTACCACTTTTTACTTAATTAAATTTTCCGGTTTCCAATGGAGTTTAATCTTTCAATTTATTTTCTTAGGTGCTTTTCGTCAAAAATTTAACTCCCACGAAGAAGTTTTTATTTCCGTTTCAAAGAAGCACTTCCAATATGCACACGACCGGCAAAAAAAACTGGCAGCCTATCGGCAAAAAAGATAAAAAATAAATTCAGCAACTTTATAATATAATATATAATATATTAAACCCCTCTTATTTAATTGTTAATTTGTTAATAGATAGTTTGTTAATATTTATTTATCTGAAAATAACTTCACATATACAGTACCGGGAAAAAATATTGGCACATAGAATTTTTCGTCATGAATGCAAAGTTTTTTATTCTGATTTCTTCCCTAATTGTTTTTTATAAAAATATAGTTAGTATGAAGTTCTACTTTCAAATCAGATTTTTTAGAAAAATTTTAAGTATGCAGTTTTATAGCCCATTTAATTTTAGTATAATAAAGTGCACGCTTGAATAGCTAGAAAACCTCTTTGTTTTTTGACAATTTCTTATACGCAGTTTCTTCCATACAAAAAAAAATGTCGCACATAATTTGCATGGAAGAAACTGCGTGAAAAAATTTCGATCCGTTTACGACTGTTCGTAGGCGATGCACAATTTAAAGCGAAAAAGTGCTCGAAAAAGACTCGTAAACGGCTATCATAAACGATTTTTAATCCGGTTTTTCTTCGAGAAAATATCCAATTACGAGCTTGTTTACGATGATTTTGCTGGCTGGGTTAGTTTTGTTGAGTTTTTATTTCGCTACAGAGTCAGAATTTCTGAAACGGGCCACTAGAATTATGTGATATTTTATTTCCAATCAGTAGTGTTATTTTTTGATAACCATTGGCAATACAAACAAATGTGTAACTTTACTTTTACAAAAAAAAAATAATATTTTCTTATACATCGGCAAGTGTTTTTTTTGTCCTTTTTACTTGAAAATTCAATAATAGACGAACTAATTTACCGATTTTGACAATTCAACCGTCATTTTCATTGTTATTAAAAACTCTTCAAGAACATATTTTCTATTTATTTATAAATAATTTTTATGGGTAAATTTTTATAAAATTCTTGGTAAAAATATAAAAATAATAGTCTTCTCCACCACTTTGTCACACAGAAAAAAACCATATATGCAAAATTTTACTCTAAAATATTCTGTTGACAAAAAAAATGGATCACAACTTGGAAAACCGTTATTTTTAGTTAAAGGCTGTCGCGCAATGCAACGAGCGCGTTCGGACTTATTTTGGTTAAGTGCGTCTGAAAGCAGCGTGCCCTCACCGGTTTATTTGTTTTCATGTGACAGAGTTAAAAATAAACAGAGGTAGATTTCAGTAAAAAATTAAAATTTTTCAATTCATTCATTTATTGAACAAATATTTATAAAATTGAGAAAACAAAGGAACTCATTTGTCGGATTTAAAGATAAAATAAATCTACACATACAGTGACGAACAATCGTATTGACTTTATTTCAAGCAAAAGAACAGCTTTAATATATATAAAAACATTTCAAAAGATTTGTTATCTTTTTAGGTTTTTCCTTGCTAAACATAAATTTTTTCGTAAAAATTAAAATATCTTGGGAAAATGATCTGATATGAAAAAACGGTATATAGATCCATAATCTAGGATCCAAAATTAAATTTACCTACGTGTCTCAGAGTTTTTTGGGTCATTTGACAACTTGAAATTTTCTCCAGAGAGTTATAAAAATAATTTTTCTCTCCTATAGTAAACAATAAATTTTTAATACAATATCGAAATTTTAATTAAATTAAATAAAAAAAAAGTTCATAAGACTCCAACACATTAATATACTTATTAGATATTTATTTTATTGGCATGAACATTTTATTCTAAATAATTTTCTCTCAAATAAACTCTTTTTATAGATTTTTAGTCTAATTTTACGTTTATATTTCTTATAAAATTTTGCAAAAAATAGGCTTTGTGGCATAGCGAATAGCCATTGGCATTAACAAATTTTGTAAGAAATTGGAACTCGGCTTGTAAGGACCGCCGACTCCGATAGGTAACTAACGAACGTATAATATTTATCAGTTTCTTCATGCTCACACCTACGACTTTTAATGAAACTGTCAAAACGGTCTGGCAAGTGAGGAAACATCTTTTGATAGTTCCCCAAGTGACATACAGTATATTTTGCTTTGCTGCCTCTATGCTTAAGTGCACATTTAAGATACCTACCCCAAAATGCGAATCAAAAGCATTATTTTTAACATTTATAAGGAAACTGCTCCGATAGATGCATGCAACATACCTGCACATTGGCGATACCTGCCTTAAAAATTGTGCGACTAGTATCAATTATCAATGAAAGTATTACGTTTACCTGCACTGGCCCTACAATTACCTAATTTTACAACCTTTTATTTATTTTGCTCATCTCGCAGAACAACGAAAATGGCTATCAATTTATGTAGTTATATAGATAATTAGATGACATTCGGTAAAAATTTCGCTTGCAGTAATTTCTACATGGTAAGTGCTCCGCCAGTATTTGGTTTCATAGGGATTCGGATACCTTCCTCATTGAAGTAGTAAAGAAAATTCGCTTAAGTGCCTTTTTCGGTTACGTGCACAAGTTTTTCGTGCAAAGAAGGATGTGCAGCTAAGCAAAATATACTGTATATAAAAATGAGCTTTTATACTATGACGATAGTATAACTACAATTTATCATGGTTTAAGGGTGTCTGGCAGGCGGAAGGAACCATGCTAAGTATCTGGCAATGAACGACGCAGTTTTTAATATTACTACGAATAAAATATATAAAAAAATGAGCTTTGAAATGCTGAGAGTCCTTTTGCTTCGCAGTTTGTATGTCATGTGACACGTTTATTGTTTATAAAAAAAACACAAGTGACAGAAAAATATAAGAACTTTTAGCTTTGAGTTTATTTTTATGAGTTTGGACTGTCCGAAGCAATATCGGACGAGAACCGCACTCGTCAAAGGCCCGCAGCTAATTAAAAATTCACAGTACAAGCTCGAGTATTTATAGGAATCACAAATGTCAATGCAATGCACAGGGTTGTAGTGCTAGATATAAATACAGAGTTGCAAAATAACGTAAAATTGAAATACAGGGTTGTTACATGAAATGAATACACAGAGTTGCATTACAAAATATAAGTACATGGTTACACAAATAAACTATTAATGGAAATGGGCCGCTACAGTCTCCCCCTAGGATGCTGAAGTCGTCCCGATGAAGCATCCTATGTGGTCTTTCGGGGTCGTCCTCTACGCCGTATCATGTTAATGGGACCTTCGTATTCGTCACTGGAACTGCGATATGGTACTAGTGAAGATGCATGATATGTTCCCAAAGGATGTTGCAGGTTGTCCTCGTGAGCAATCACGTAGGAAGTAGAACCCTGTTTACCGATGATAACGTAAGGCCCGTCTCGTCGTGGTGCGAATTTGGACGTTACACCCTTGGTAGCATTGCTTAGAACATGTGTGGTGACCAGAACCTTAGAGCCAATTTCCAAATCTTCCTGATCACGCCGTCGTAGGTTAGAAGCACGCTTGTTAGCATCTTGCTGCTTCCGTTCACATTCGCGAGCAGCTTGGAACACTTCAGTGAGCGTGGCTAAGTATGGTGTGATTTCGGCAACAAAGTTCTCCGACTGAATGATTGACCTTAAATCATGCTGGACATCGTCTATAGTTCTTGGTTCACGCCCGAATGTAAGAAACGCTGCAGAATACCCAGTGCTTTGGCAGCGAGTGGTATTCATAGCGAATCGTATGGCGGGGAGCTTTTCTGCCCAAGTGCGATGCTGCTTACCGACCAATATCGCCAACTGTGCCTTCATGTCTCGATTCTTTCGCTCCACCGGATTCGCCTGGGGATGATATACCGGTGTGAACACCTGACTTATTTCAAGGCAGAATACAACCTTCTGCATCACTGCGGATACAAACTGCACTCCATTGTCACTGATAATTCGTCTTGGGACTCCGTAACGCAGGAATACCTCATCTATCAGGGTTTTCCCACAATTTTCCGCAGTAGCCTCCATTAACGCGAAGAGCTCCACCCATCGACTTGCTACGTCCTCAACAATATATATCCACTGCATCCCATTGGCATCTGGTGGCAGTGGCCCAAACAGATCGATGGCTATGATTTCGAAGCGTTGCTTGCTTGAAATCGTTTGGTACAAGCCCATTGGCTTCAAGTTTGTTGCTTTGTATCGCTGGCAATCAGTACAATTATGGACGTGCTTCTCGATATCTTTCCGTATCCCGGGCCAATAATACCGTGACGTTATTTTGTATGATGTTCGGTCGATTCCGTAATGACCTGCTGTGTCTTTATTGTGATAATGGTCCAATATGGCTGGACGCTCTGATTTAGGAACGACCAGTTGCGCATCTTCGCTGTCTTCGTCGTTGTAACAGTAGAGTACCCCATCGTTGAGTGTATAACCTCTTTTGGACCAATGTGCCGCATCATCCGATCTATTTTCGAAGCAGTCGATAATGGTTTGAAGATCGGGATCACTAAGCTGACCTTCACGTATATCCTTGGCTCCTCGTCGCGGGAGATCAATACCAAAGAGCAAATATTGCATGCTTCATCAATTCTATGGTTCTCTTCGCACGGAGGCCGTGACAGCATATCATCCACAACGTTCGTTTTCCCTGGCTTGTAATCGATGTGTATATTGTAAGGCTGTATAAGCAATGCCCACCGAGCTAGTCGTCCTGTGGGTGACTTGATCGTCATTAACCATTTCAGCGGTCGGTGGTCCGTGATAAGCGTTATATCGGATCCTTCTATATAACCGCGAAACTTTTGCACTGCCCATACGATGGCAAGAGCTTCACGCTCAATAGTGGAATAATTTTGCTCCGCTTTCGTCAGCAGCCTACTTGCGTACTCTATAGGATGTTCATCTGGTCCCTCCCCCTGGATCAGGACTGCCCCTAGAGCATAGCCACTAGCATCGGTTTTGAGAATAAATGGCAAGTTCTCGTCAGCTTGTTTTAGTATAGGCGAAGTTGTTAAAAGCCGTTTCATCTTATCGAAGGCCGTCTGCTGCTGGTCAGTCCAAGTCCATTTGGCGTTCTTCTTCGTCAGCTGCGAAAGCGGTTTGGCGACGTCTGCGAATAGAGGCACAAACCGTCTATACCAGGAACACGCTTGGAGAAAGGACAGCAACTCCTTGACGTTTCTTGGGGATTTACGCATTGTTATTGCAGTAACCTTGCTTGGATCAACCTTGATGCCATCTGGAGTCAATATGTGCCCCAAATATTTTACTTCATGGCAAGCAAAGCGACATTTTTCTTTGTTTACCTTGAGACCAAATTTTTGTAAGCGCTCGAATAGCCGGCTCAGTTCCTCTAGGTGTTCTTTAAAATTTTTCGAACATAAAATTATATCGTCCAAATATGCAACTAAAACTATTTTTCCTAAAGAGACTTTAAGTCGATCTATTAGGCGCTGAAACGTTGCTGGCGCGTTTCGCAAGCCGAATGGCATACGCGTGAATATGTACATGCCGAACGGGGTAACAAACGCTGTTTTGTCCTGATCTTCGTCCTTCATCCCGACTTGCCAATACCCGGATTGCAAATCCAAAGTGGACATGAAGTTTGTGTCCTTGGCTTCATGCAACAAGTCGTCAATTCGCGGCAGCGGGTACCGATCTGGTTTGGTGATCGCATTCAACTCTCTATAGTCGACGCAAATCCGTATGCCGCCTGACTTCTTTGGTACTATTACTACGGGAGCTGCCCATGGTGATTCGCATTCCACGATAACTCCCGTATTGAGCATTTTATCGAGCTCTAACTTCAACAGATCTTTACGTTGTGGTAATAGGCGGTATGGCGGCAAAGCAATTGGAGGATGCCCGCCCGTGTCGATGTGATGTGTAGCATACGGTGTTGCAGACGTCGGCTCTTTAAAGATGTCAGCATGCGTGAGTAGCAATGTCAAGTTCCATCTTCTGCTTCATCGTCAGCTCGTAACCAACTGACTGTGGTGACAAACTTACTTCGAATGAGTACAGTGGGAAGAAATTGTCATCACAAAAGTTCTCGTAATCGATATTGCCGGATTTGGTTCGCATTGGGGGTGCAAACAACCGAGAAGAGTTCTCCGGTGTCCTTTCGCCAACCGGTAAGGAGCTTCTGAAGATCTTCTGAACGGAGTGTGGTGAATAATCGTTCGAGTGTGAGCGTTTGTTCTTTACTGATGGACCAAAGTTTATTTCTGGACAGATCTCTGGCGCGTCCGCAACAACTGAGTTGCTATTGTACTTTTCGACGTAGCGTATGAAGTTGGAGTACTCGCTCTTAGCTTTGGTACCAGGTGACTGCATGTTGCCTGTTACTACATGCGCGCCAGCTATGTCGATAGCAGATGGTAGATCACTAGTGCTGGGTTTTGTAAAGTCGTATTTCATCTTTGGTTCGTCTTCAAAGTACTAGAAGCGCTGTGCCATATTCAACACAATGCCCGCTTGTTCCATAAAGTCTGCCCCTATGAGAGTTCGATTCTTTGTAGCATTTGGTAAAGATATCATCCTTATTTTTCGATTTCTGTTGCCGATAGTGATGTCACAAATAGTGGACAAAACCTTTTGAGTGGTTGTGGTGCCATCTGCCAAGGTAACGTCTGCCATTACGTCTTGGAAAACACACCCTTTGCTGGTCAAAATTCTTTTTAAGTTTGCGCTGGCTACACTGGTCTTCGCTCCAGAATCGAATAACGCCTCACCTTGCATACCGAACATCGTAATGTGGGCCGATGGAATCGATCTGCCAACGATAGTGGTGGATACACTGTTGAAAGCTAAATACTGTGGGCTCTCCCTACTGTGTCCACTGCATTTTGGGCAATTCGCGCGGTACACGCCTGGTGCACCACAACCGTAACATGCGAACGCTGCTGCGCGTTTCACTTGCGACGCTACTGTGCTTGTACTGGTCGTGCCAGATTGCTGTTGCTGTTGTGGTTTTGCCTGCTGTGACTGTTGCTCCTTTTTCTTCTTAAAGCAAACATCTACAGTGTGGCCTCGAAGTCTGCAGAAAGAACACCGTTTTGGGCCGTTAGCATTTTCGGGTTCCTCATTAACTGCCGGCGTAAGTTGCTTTGCTTCTGCCAAAAACAATTCCGCTTCTCGACAACGTGCTATTAACTCGTCAAATGTTAAAAATGAATCACGGCGCACACGCTCTCTAATTTTTATCGATAAAAGGCCGTAAATCATGTTTAACTGTATTGCTTCGCTAGTGGTAACCATCAACTGCGAGAACAGTAATCGCTTTTTGCATATGAAACTATCAGTGGCTTCTCGTGCATGCTGCTTTTGCTCAAATATATTTAAAAAGATTTTCCAATCAGGTGTTGGAGGCGAAAATGTTGTGCGTATCAACTCAGTTGCAGCGGCGAAGGTTTGCAAAGAATCTTTAACGCCAGCCCACCACGTCGCTGCGTAATCTTCGAGCAGCAGTGGCATACCGCGCAAGGCGTCGGCGTCGGAAATTTTTTCGATGTCTTTGTAAACCGTTATAGCGGTAATAAATTCTTCCACTACTGCAGGATCCCGTTGTCCTCGGAAACGTGATGTGCACTGCGTAAAGGAACCACTTTTTTCCCCGCTTGAGATCGCAGCTAAAATTTGCGAAAACTGCTCTGATGAAAAGGTAGCCATGCTTGTTGGTGAGTCGCAATTGGAGTCGTTCGAAGCCATAAAATTGGGCGCCAATGAAATGCTGAGAGTCCTTTTGCTTCGCAGTTTGTATGTCATGTGAC